CACTTTGTATCCCAATTTTGGAGAAAAGGCAATATTATTGTTGTTGTCATTCTTACTGTCCTTGGATTTGTTGTTTGTTGTGGTGCTAGATCTCTCTGACAAGTAAGACTAAATATCTCACAAAATCCCAGAATTCCATAGCCATTGTGCCATGGCACTTAAGATGATGTCAAACTACATTATTTATGCAGTGCAGTTTAGATCAGAGACAATGGAAACACACGAGACAAGGAACCTATACATTTCATTTTGGGAAATACCGGGTTATTTTAAACTGGCCTGGGGAGTGGGAATGGAAGGTCCTTGATAATGTTGGGAAATACTTAAAGTAAGTGTCATGTCGATCTCCAAATTAAAATCAGAATGCACAGATACAAAACCTGGGACTTCCAAAATTAAAAAAAAAAATCCATCTAGGGGTGACCAAAATTAAAACTGCAATTTCCCCCTTGCAGGCTAAGGAGGAGCTTTCATCTGAAGTGGCCGAGAGCCGCCGGAGACTAGAGGACTCTTTAGAAAAGCTTCATCATTTGGAGGCAGAGAAGAAAATCCTAGACAATCGCATCCAAGCACTGGAGAACGAATGGTCCCGCCTGCTGGAAGAAAAGGAAGGAATCACTTTGCAGAACCAGAGAGATGGATGGAAGAACCAGGATGATATGAAGGCTCTCCGGGAAAGCTGTGAAAATCTTAGGTAATCGAGAGAAAATATTGAAAGGTGCCTTTTCCTATGATTTTATGTGGAGCACTCAGTTGTGGGGACTCCAGTAACTGCAGCGTGAAATACAGTTGGCTCTCTGTATCCACGGATTTTCTTATCCACGGAGTCAACCATCCACAGCTTGAAAATATTAAAAACAAATATAAATTCCAAAAGCAAACCTTGATTTAGCCATTTTATATAAGGGACACCATTTTATTAGGCCACTGTATTTAATGGGACTTGTGTATCCATGGATTTTGGTATCCACAGGGGACCTGGAACCAAATCCCAGTGGATACCAAGGAAGGACCCACGGTACAACAGCCTCCAAAGTAGGCTCTGTGTCTTGGTTAGCCGGCTATATTATTTTGACCTCCTCAGGCATTGGCCAAGCTCTTATATTGAGGTTGCAATACATATCATACATCTCCAAGTGTGGTGTTCACAGCTGAATGCAGTCACATGTAGCATCCGCATATGCATGTGGCACATACATGTACCAAAGTGCCATGTGTGCAGTTTCTTCTGCAAACTCGAACAGCATGTGGACACTCCACCTTAGACAAAAATACCCCAACCTTTTGCAGGGGAACTGACACGTGTATAAGATGCCAACAGGATCCCAGTTTCTCTCTAGCTGCAACTACACTGCAGAATGAGTGCCGTTTGACACCGCTTTAACTGCCATGGCTCAATGCTATGGAATTCTGGGATTTGTAGTTTTTGGAGCTATTTAGCCTTCTCTGTCACAGAGCTCTGGTGCCACAAGAAACTGCAAATCCAAGGATTTCATTGGAGGGAACCATGGCAGTTAAAGTGTTGCAAAACTGCATTAATTTTGCAATGTGGCAGCAGCCTCTCTCTCTTTTCTTTCTTTCTTTCTTTCTTTCTTTCTTTCTTTCTTTCTTTCTTTCTTTCTTTCTCTCTCTCCCCTTCCCCTTTACACATATACATATACACAGAGAAAGAGAACAAATAGTTAATTGAAGCCTTTCCCATTCGTTTGTGCAAACTGCAAAAAGAAGCACAAAAAGGAAGCAGGGGTAGCTGCAAAACAGGGATAGCTTTATTGGATCAACCAAAATGCACAATATACATGTTGCAAGCTTTCGAAGCTGCAAAAGAAGGAGCAATATAGACCCACACAAAAATATCATTTGCATCTTAGTTTACCATGCCAAACTAAGATGATTTGAACTCAGCACAAGGGCCCCCAGGAATGATGACTGACTCACTTGAACAGGGGCCAAAATGAGCTGGGGAATGGTAATCTAAAAGTTATTTTGGGCACAACTACTTGCAGCATCCATCAGTATCCAAAGAACTAGTTATGGGATTCTGAGAGCTATTATTCAAAAAGAAAAAGTCATTTTCCCCCAAGCTCTGTTCCACTTATGCATCATCTTCATCATCTTCTTCCTTGTTCTACAGGGAATCTCAGACCTTACTGCAAAGGGAGAAAGACCTCCTGCAGGCTCATTGCCTGGAGCTGGAGGCGGCTTTGCATGGAAAGCAGGAGGAGATGAGCATGCAGTTGACAGAACAGAAAGAAATCTCCCAGTATTGGAAAGAAAGATGGGAGGAAGTGGCCACAGCCTTGAAGACTTGGGAAGGAGAGGTGGAGGCCACAGCCATGCAAAGCCAGTCCCTCTCTGCCAAGGTATCCCTTCCCTGCAAATCCGCTGTTCGGTTTTCTTCCCTCCCACTTCTTCTTCAGTGCCTTTGGGTGCATCTACGCTGTAGAAATAATGTAGTTTGACACCACTTTAATTGCCATGGCTCCATCCTACACAATCCTGGGATTTGTAGTTTTGTAAGGCACCAGCACTCTTTGGTAGAGAAGGCTAAAGACCTTGTGAAACTCCAGATCCCAGGATTCCATAGGATGGAGCTACAGCTCTTAAAGTGGTGTCAAAGTGCATTATTTCTTCAGTGTGGAGGCAGTCTTTTAGAAGCCATCAATGCTGAGATGGTTCAAGAGAAGCACTCCTTTTTTCTTGATCTTCGTGCCAGCATAGATCATCATCATCATCACCATCATCACCAGGTTCCCATGATTATGTGAGAGCCAGTATAGTGTAGTGGTTTGGACTAGTGTTGGACTAGCACTCTGGAAGACCAGGGTTCAAATCTCTGCTCAACCATGAAAAACTATTGGATGACTTTGGACAAGTCATGCTCTCTGAGCCTCAGAAGAAGGCAATGGCAAACGCCTTCTGAAAAAAATTCTTTCTAAGAAAACCCTGTGATAGGATTGCCATAAACTAGAAATGACTTGGGGGAACACAACAACAATGGCTTGGAGCCCTTTTACATTACACAATGATAGTGCTATGATTCTACTTTTAACTGCCATGGTTCTGTCCTATGGAATGCTGGGATTTGCAGTTTAGGGAGGCACTGAAACTCTCTGGCTGAGGACAAAGTCATGGTCATGAAAGTGCAGTCACAGCTATAATTGTATACTGTGAAAGGGCCCCTTGTACACATCCAATGCATGCATCCATGCAGTGCTATCTACTTTGAGTGGTCAACAACACAATGGTCACTGTCTTTCCCTACATGCCCCAAAGCCACGTTTTGCATATATATATATATATATATATATATATATATATATATATATATATATATATATATATATATATATATCTCCCAAAGCAAATGGACTAGCTTGTTCTAGGGAGAAAAAAGAAAGGAAGGAAGGCGAGAAAATTATTTTTCCCTCAGGAGCCAAGAAAGGAACTAATCCAATGAAGACATACATCTCTAATTGCTTTTGGAAAAATAACATTGCAGACTCTGAAATCTTCATCTCTGCGTTTTGTTTTCTTCCTGGCAGGAAGAATCTCCTTTGCTTCTCCAGATCCAGCTGGATGCTTGCAAACAGGAGCTGGAACTGGAACGGAACCGCAGCCAAGCTTTGCACCACCAAGTCCAGCAACTGCAGTCTGGCAGCCCAAGCCAGGCTGTTCCTCCGCATGAGGTCTGGAATATAGTGGGAATAAGATGCTGTGATCTTATATAAGATGTTGCGTGGCTAGTGTCTGTTTCCATGTTCGGTAAACATTGCCCTATGGCCTTCACTGTGAGAGCAAAGCTCACTAGCTGGATGGCCATCTGTCGGGGATGCTTTGATTGGGAGTTCCTGCATGGCAGGGGGTTGGACTGGATGGCCCTTGTGGCCTCCTACTGATTCTATGATTCTAGGATTCTAGGATTGTTTACACCAGGGGTAGGCAACCTTTCTCCTTTAAGGGCCGAGGGACTTCAGCTCCCAGAAGCCTCAGCCATGTTGGCCAATAGTCCCATGTTGGCCAATAGCTCCTGGGATTCTGGGAGCTGAAGTCCCTCGGCTCTTAAAGGGGAAAGGTTGCCTACCCCTGGTTTACACCATCTGAACAATCTCTTTGAGTTGAAGTTCAAAGAAGTAACATTTACCGAACTCTGTTGCCTTCCCCAACAGAGGTAGTTCCCTGTTCTGTTAAACCACCTACACAGATCTTTGTCTGCTGTCAGCAACAGGTGATCTGGGGGCGAAGGCTAGGCAGAGTTTTATAGTGGGGTGCTTTCAAGGGCATAGCTGATGCCTTGAATGCTCACTGTGGCTTATGGTACACAGATAGTTCACAGAAAGCCTTGGGGCTTGTGTTCACCTCCTACTAGCAGAGGCAAGGAGCCATGAAAATAGCAGGGACTCAGACCAGAGATTGTTCCCACCTGGCTTCTCCACCCACCTTGGTGTGTTTCCTCCCCCAGGGCTGTCAGCATCATCGAGGCTTGGATGCAAAAGTCATCCCGAGCGCCAAGCAAGAGCAGGAGAGCCTGAGGCTGCAGCATCAGCTGGTGACCGAACAGGTAAGGAGGAGGTAGCGGTGTCATTTCACCCACCTGCCTCTTGATTCATCTCCTTCACACCTCTTTGGATTAAGAGGGCCGCGTGTTGGTGCGGATGAAAGAAGCATCATGATCTGAAGGTGGGGATGCACCAATGTGTGTAGAGCCTCTGCAGAACAGCCACACGTAGGCTGAGATTTTACACTAAAGTATAGCTTTGCTTGTACAGTCCCACATCTTCCCCACATCTGTCAAGCCCCAGAGAGGCTGCTGATGTTGCCTACCAGCGTTGTTGGTAGGAGAGTGTTGTTGTTATTGTTATTGTGTCTAACTTAAAGCGACTCTAAGGTGAACTTATCATGGGGGTTTTCTTGGCAAGTTTCTTCAAAGACAGGTTACCATTGCCATCCTCTGAGGCTGAGAGAATATGACTTGCCTAAGGTTACCCAGTGAGTTTACATGGCCGTGCCAGGATTTGAACCCTGGTCTCTAGATTCATAGTCCAATGCTCAAACCATTACACCAGGAGACCATTAAGACCAGAAAGCAGCAGCTGGACTCAGCTTGGTGGGGAAAGAAATGATGGTGTGCCGACTGATGGAGGGCACCTTTTCTTTCTCTTCCCCCAGGAGCCCAGAGCAGCCAAATCTTCATGGTCCAAGTTGTCCTTCACCCCATTTCTCACCAGTAAAAAGCAGCAGTGACCCCTCATGGAACTTAACACCTTCCAGTGGGGAGAAACTTTCATACAAAGCACAAGGGCAGGAGAATAATTCCCTGCACCCTCTCCAAAAAGGGACATACATGTGCATAAGTAACCAAAATGTCCTTTTGCTGTCCAGAAAATGATGCACAAAAACCTAGTGTGTGTTTTTCATGGTGAAAAATCCCCAGTTTGCAAAGATTCTTGCCTTCCAGTCTTCTCCTCTTCTCAGGGTTTTCTGACACTCTGGAAACCCATTTTCTGTCTGTCATTAAATATTTCAAATATTCTTTCTGGATCTAGTTGACCTATAACCACACACACACACATTGGTATAAATATGCACACTAATGAAACTTTCCCCAACCTGTTGGCCTCCAGATGGTTTGGGCTACAACTCCCAAAGCACCCAAACATTGACTAGGCTGGCTGGGGCTGATGGAAGTTGTAATCACAAACATGGAAGACACCAAGTTGTGGGAGCACTGCAGAAATGGCCATTCAAACTCTCCATCTTCCAGTTCTTCTGTAGCCAAAATGGGACGATGCACAAAGAACAAAAGATATAGGCGCAAGGCGGGTTCCAAAGCAGAGGAGGATGCTAAGGGCTGAGGACACCAAAAAGCTCAGTACAGACTGAACCTATGGAATAGCCACAAAATGGTGGCTGATTCTTGGGGAGAAAAGGAAAGGGTAGCTGGAACATGTGTTGTTAACTGTAGTCAAGTCAGCTTTGACTTATGGTGACTCTATGAATGAGAGATCTCATTTGACAATCTGAGTTTAGTCATCTTGGCTTCCAAGGACAGCCAGACCTGATTTGTTCTAGGACCCATTTATTTATCTTTTCACAGTCCATGATAGCTGTTGAACTCACCTCCAGCACCACATCTCAAATGAGTTGATTCTCTTCCTAGCAGTCTTCTTCACTGATCAGAGAGTCTCAGGTTTATTTATTTTATTTATTTGTTTATTACGACCATTCGGTCAGCACAAGAGTCTCAGATTCTCTTCTTATCAATCTTCTTCACTTTCACAACCATAGGTAGGAATTGGAAATACAATGGCAGGGACCATTCTAACTTTAGTATTCAGTGGTATATCTTTATACTTCAAGGTCTGGCCTAGTTCCTTCATAACTGCCCTTCCAAGTCCTAGTTTTCCTCTGATTTTTTGACTGCCATCTCCATTTCGATTAATGACTGAGCTAAGGTATAGGAAGTATTTGACTGTCTCAATGTTTTTATTGTCTACTTAAAAGTTATATAAATCATCTGTGCTCATTATTTGGAAAAAGAAGGCACCACACATTTTGACATTTTGCAACTGGCCAGAAGCATTTCAGTTGACAAAAGTAGCTTGATATCTTTTTTTCTCTTCTCCTAACAGTTGAAGTGGATTTTCAGAGAGAGAGAGAAGCAGAAGCAAGGATCCAGGAAACATCCCGGAAGACTTCAGGAAGAAAGTTCTGCCATGTTTCCTAAATCTCAAGGAATGCTGGTAACAACTGTATCCTTCCTCCATCCCTTCAGTGGTCATCTTTTGAGTCAATTTCCAATACAGCAGTGCTGTGGATTAGCATTGTTCCTGGACATGAGGACCTATGGAGCTCAAAACATTCCCAGGGTGCACAGATTGGAAAAGTTACTTTTGGGGAATTACCCCTACCAGAATCCCTGAGCCATGCTGGGTGGAAGATTCTGGCGGTTGTAGTCCCTCCAAAATGGAAAGTTTCCAAGATCTGCTTCCAAGTGGGATTTTGGTCTCATGCCCATCTAGGGGCTTCTCTATAACTCATCCAGTTGTAGATAGGCCTCTGAAGTTGAAAAATTGGAGGACACCAAATTGGAAAAGGTAACCCTAAGATAAATAGACTTCTGGAATTTCCACAAATACAGCATTATCTTTGTGTCTCCTACAGACTGTAACTGAATCCATCCAGTTTCCTGAAGGAGGTGCACCCAAATCCTTTGAATCCTGCAGCGGTGGAGAAGTGGAGAGTTTTCGGTGGCAACTGAAACAAAATGAAGAAATAGTAAGGAAATCTATTGCAGTGGGGCGCCTACTGTGTGGAGAGCACTGTGCCGGAGGAAAGCTTCTCTGCATTTAGAGAGCAACCACTTTGTAAATATGCCATCAAGCTCCTTTATACACAGGACGATTCTTGGAAGGAAAGATAGGATCGATTCTGGTGCATCAACTTTCCTTAACAGCTGGAAGATTCTGCTGGATGTAACTAAGGCAAAACATGGAGCAGCTGTGGAGCAAAGACCCAGTTTATCCATGTGTATGAGAGAGAAAGGGGGGGGGTTGACATGTTGAATTAAGCCTACCTATGGTTAGGTGATGCACCAGAATGCAGTGGCTCAAGTAGTTAAGATGCTGACTCTATTGATGGCAAGATTGGTAGGTTGGCAGTTCGAGGCCCAGGTGCTGCATGATGGGGTGAGATCCTGTCACTAGTCCCAGCTTCTGCCAACCTAGCAGGTTGAAAGCATGCAAATGCAAGTAGCTAGATAGGTACCACTTCGGTGGGAAGGTAAACAGTGTTCTGTAAAGTCATGCTGGCCACAAGATCACAGAGTAGTCTCTGACCATGCTGGCTCTTTGGCTTAGTAACAGAGATGAGCACTGCCCCCGACGGTTGGACATGACTTGACAACCTTGTCAATGGGGAATACCTTTACCTTTAGCTATGGTTAGGCTATGGACCCAACAAAGAGCAAATTTAGATTGATCCAATGGGTGTAACAACTAGTCACTAGTGATTGTCAAGAGTGGGCAATTGTGAAGGGCTAGGAGACTTCATTAGCCCACAAATACACCCACTATTCCAATATATATAATTATTTTTTGCTCCATAATTCTTCCAAAAGCCTTCTTTGGGGCTTTTTTTTAAACAACAGGAGGTGAGTGGAAGTCACTTATTGTTCATTTCCTAATACAAAAAAAAAAAAAAGGTCTCTCCTGGTGCTAAAATAGCCAAACCCTCCCCCTCCCCAAAAGCATGATGGAAATGCCCCACACACACATACTGTAGAGAGCACTGAGTGCATTTTGGAGCATTATTTATTTATTTATTTATTTCAGAAACTATTTGGATTTTTTAAAATCTTGGGGGTCCAGGGTACCTCCTGGCATAGTAGAAATGCCCTAGAGATTATTTTGGGGCATTTTGAAGGAGGAAAAGGTTTTGACTTTTTGTGGGGGGCACACTGTGCTAGTGTGTATTGGGCTGGCATTTGGGAAGTGCAAGTCCAAGTCCCCATTGAGCCATGTAATGCTGGGTGACCATGTCATGCGGTTATTCTCTCTCAGCCTGATTTACTTCACAGGGCTGATAAAGTGGGGAAGGTTAGAGGCAAATATGCCAGCTGGAGCTCCTGGGAGGAATAGTGGCATATAGCTGTAGCAAATATACCTGAGTGTGGAAAGAACTTATCTGAGCAAACTACTGCACTGTTCATTCTTCAGTTTGCCACACTGCCATCTGTTTACCTTTTTGAGGGGGTGAGGGACATTTGCAATGGATGGGATACAGCTTCAGTTTCTCTGAAGTCAGTAGGGTTGAGTATTAGTTGTGCCTATGGACTTTATCACATGGGGGAAATCCCATGTAGAAATGGGGTTTTAAACAGGGGGGAAAAAACACGCAAAAGCGGGTAGATTTTCAGATGACGTCGCTGTTAAAGTGTGCTTAACCCAAACAGAAAGTAGTCAAAAGCATCTTCTTTTTACTTCTGGAAAATCCTGAAAGTAAAAAGGCGTGGCATTTGACTATTTTACGTTTGGGTTAACAAGACTTTAAAAATGACGTGCATAAAAATCAACCCACTTTTGCAAGTTTTCCCCACCTTTTAAATCCCATTTCTGCACGAGATTTCCCCCATGTGATAAGGTCCTATGTTAAGTCCCATTGGTTTGACTGGGGCTGCCCTGAATTTGGATCCAACCCAGTGTAAGCAAACTGGGTTGGAAAGCTGTGGAGCATTCGAGATCTGTACTTGCCCCGTTGTCCACTCATATCCTGGACATCCAGCAACTGCATCTCCTTCTTTCTTTCCAAACTGGAGTTTTGGAGGAAGAAAGTTCATTTTGGGTCCCCAAGAGGGTGACCGATGGGTGTAGTTAGTAGACCTGTGAAGTAGCTCTGCATCTTAATCCAAAGTCTAAAGGAGTTGTCCAAGGTGCTGAACCTATTTTGGGGCACGTTTCTGGACATTCAGAGCTCTTTTAAAGTTTGGAGTAGTTTGGGCAAACTACTGTCCAAAGTTTGGATGGAGCAGATTCACAAACTCATTGGCATGGCCGCTGCCAGCCAACACTGGCTGCATATGTCCAGGAATAAAGTATCCACCTTTTGAGTATGTATCTATGGGTCACTTTTTTCTCCATTTCAGATTACCTCCATGGCTTCTGAAATCCAGGCTTTGAAGCAGAAGAACGAGAGCTTAATGAAAGGTACTAGGAAAGGGGAGGACAGTGAAAGAACACTAGGTTTTATTCCACAGTTCTCTGCGATCTCCAGATGAATTGGAGGAAGAGGAGGGTAAAGAAGTAACTTGCAAAGGGTCAGATCATGGGGCCAGTTTTAGGGGCAGAAAGAATATTTGCCTTTCCTTGTTTCATGATTGAAAAATAGATTCACACTCATGACTAAGTAACAATCATGAATACAAAACAATTATAGATGAGTAAATCTTGTTCCATATTCACAACTGCTTCATAGGCTGCATCCGCACTGCGGATATAATCCAGTTTGACCCCACTTTCACTGCCATGGCCCAATGCTATAGAATTCTGGGAACTGGAGTTTGTTATAGCACCAG